GTAGATGTTGCATCTTGTGCTTGCTCTGGCAATTCCCTTCACCAGATGCGTTTTCTGAGCATGGAGGAAAGCTGGACTCTTTTACGCGATAAGGTTTTTGGGAATGGTGGTTACCCTCCGGAATTGGAGAAAATTGGGAGGTACATTGGCCATCAGTGTCAAGGGTTGCCACTTGCAGTTGTTGCAATTGGTGGACTACTTTCCAAGATGAGCAAGGAAACAAGTTCTTGGGAGAATGTTGCAGAAAAGGTAGGATCACTTATGACCAGCGACACTATGGATTGCTTGAACATACTTTCGTTGAGCTACAACCACTTGCCTCAGTACTTGAAAACATGCTTCCTTTATATGGGAGTTTTTGCAGAAACTCGTGAGATTCCAGTCTGGAAGTTAATAAAATTATGGATTGCTGAGGGCTTCGTCAAGAGAGTTAATCATAAAAATCTAGAAGATGTGGCAGAGGAAAATTTGAGGGAGTTGGTTGATAGAAGTTTGGTTTTGGTGGGGAAGCATACTTCCCTAGGAAAAATCAAGACTTGTAAGATGCATGATCTCGTTCGAGATATGTGTTTGAGAGAAGTCCAATATGAGAATTTTATACACTTCAAAACGAGGTATGACTATGATGATCTTCTAGAAAACATTAGTTGTCTACGTCGTGTAGCTGATTTCCATAAGTATACACACAGTGGACTTTCTAAACTTATGCCACTCACACGTTCTGTTTTCTTCAAATATCCATACTTTTTTTGTTACCTCTCACAGTCGAGCTTTAGATTACTGAGGATATTAGATGTTTGCTTTACATGTTTTTTCTCCTGTAGTCAGTCCGTATCAGAACTTGTTCATTTGAGGTATATTGCTTGTCCGTCCTTCAATGGTCTTGTGCAATCACTATGCAAGCTACGGAATATACAGAACTTAGTTATTCATGATTCACATCCATTTGGTTCAAGTATGAGAACCCAGTCCCTACCATGGGAAGTTGTGAATATGCCTCAACTAAAACATATCCATACAAAAAAGTTGAGTCTTTTCATATCCCCACCTACATCAGTATTAATTTCTGAGAGGGAGAATCACTTACAAACGTTAACCGGATTGATGCCCTCATCTTGTAACGATGAGGTGTTTCTACGAATTCCAAATTTGAAGAAGTTGGGAATTTTAATTGTTGATGAATCAGACACTATTCAGAAGTGTTATTGTCTTGATAATCTTGTACATTTAACTCAGCTTGAGAAGCTCAAAGTTGAGGTCAGCGAGAGTTATCTGCTAATTTTTATGCGGATTAGCGAAGGTTGGGTGGACATTCCACATTGTGACAATTTCCCACCAAACCTTAAGAAGTTAACATTGTGCAGAACGCACCTACAATGGGAAGACATGAACATTCTCAGTAAGTTACCTAATCTTGAGGTGCTCAAACTTAAACATCATGCCTTTCACGGACTAATTTGGAAACTAAGCCATGAAGACGAAGATGGATTCTTGAAGCTAAAGTTTTACTCTTGAGCGCATGAGTCTGAAGCAATGGGAAGCAACAAGTTATCATTTTCCAAGCCTTGAGCACTTAGTCCTAACAAATTGCCGGTACTTGGAAAAAATTCCTTTCGACTTTGCGGAGATTCAGACACTACAGCTGATTGAACTACACGAATGTAAGCGTTCTGTTCTGTTTCAGCAGAGCAAATACAAGAGGAGCAACAAAGCTTGGGAAATGATGACCTCGTTATTCATGCGAACTCTATACGTGAGTAAACATTAATCAAAAAGGTATACATTTCTTAAAAGCATAAAGATTTTTGATTAGTTAGATTCCTTCGAAAATCTGAAAATGATTTTTATATTCATCATTTTCACTTATTTATACTATAAAAGGTGCTAATTACAATTGGTTTGTGCATTGCAGACGTAACGACTAGCTGATGGAGAGTACCATAAGGTATATATACTCAAGCAAATTTGCAGAAGTTCATGATATTTCCTGTCTGTGTATTTTGACTTGTTTAGGACTGAGACGTAGTTTAGTGAATCTGATATCTATATACATTCATCAGAAAGAATGCATCACCTTTGGAATGTGTGTATAGTTGAATAACTTCTCTTTTTATTGAAATTGATTCTATAAATCAGTTCTCCTCAACAAAACCTTTTCGTCCATACCAAACACACCCTTAGTGTTTCTTTATTTTGCTTGTCTTAACTCTTATCTAATACTTTAACATTTTTTTGTGTTTTACTTGCTTCTTTTGTTTACAATAATGTTTTATCATTTTGAATATGTTGACTTTTAGTCAATTTTATTTTTTCTTTAGTTCAAAACAATATAATTAAAGAGACGTTGAAAAATTCCAAATACGTGAAACGTAATCTTCTCTTTATTTTGCTTTGCTCTTTCGATCTTAATTTATATAACATATTTCGCTTTTTAGTATGTCTCAAAACAAATTTACTACATTTTCTAATTTGAATATATATTAAAGTTGTGGATATCATATTTTAGTCATGATGTTATACTTTAGTTAAAGAATATTTCTTTTTTACTTGTTCACATTAGCAAATCAAGATCATAAAATTATTAATTGATTTTTTTATAATTGTAGCGTCTAAGTCCATTTGTATGCGCGCCAACTAATTCTATGATCTACTATATCTATTATTCCTCACCAACCATGCATATAAAGTAACTTTGTTATCAAAGCTTGAACTGATAAGAAGAAATCATCACGTGTTCTTAGTTAGCTATATCTAGAATTTGAATTTAAAATCCCATAATTTTCAACACATGACTTTATTGACCATCTTTCAAAAACAATATAAGATCTACATTTATTCTATCTTTTTTGACTTGATAAATGAAGGGTACCATGAGGTATATAGACCGAAGCTAATTTGCAGAAGTTCATGATCTTTCCTTTCTCTGTATTTCGATTTTTTTTTTTTCAAATTTAGGGAAGTAAGTTAGTGAAATAGTCATGTTTCAACTTGTTTAGGACTGAGACGTAGTTTAGTGAATCTGATATCTATATACATTCATCAGAAAGAATGCATTACCTTTTGGAATGTGTATATAGTTGAATAACTTCTCTTTTTATTGAAATTGATTCTATAAATCAGTTCTCCTCAACAAAACCTTTTCGTCCATACCAAACACATCTATACTTTAACAATTTATTGTGTTTTACTTGCTTCTTTTGTTTACAATAATGTTTTATCATTTTGAATATGTTGACTTTTAGTCAATTTTATTTTTTCTTTAGTTCAAAACAATATAATAAAAGAGACGTTGAAAAATTCCAAATACGTGAAACATAATCTTCTCTTTATTTTGCTTTGCTCTTTCGATCTTAATTTTAGTATGTCTCAAAACAAATTACTACATTTTCTAATTTGAATATATATTAAAATTGTGGATACCATATTTTAGTCATGATGTTACACTTTAGTTAAAGAATATTTCTTTTTTACTTGTTCATTTTAGCAAATCAAGATCATAAAATTATTAATTGATTCTTTTTATAATTGTAGCATCTAAGTCCGTTTGTATGCGTGCCAACTAAGTCTATGATATACTATATCTATTATTCCTCACCAACCATGCATAAAGTAACTTTGTTATCAAAGCTTGAATTGATAAGAAGAAATCATCACGTGTTCTTAGTTAGTTATATCTAGAATTTGAATTTAAAATCCCGTAATTTTCAACACATGACTTCATTGATCATCTTTTATAAACAATATAAGATCTACATACATTCTATCTTTTCTTACCTAATAAATGAAATTACACTGAATACGTTGTTGTGGTTGTTATATTGTCTTTGTGTATCTAAAGAGATATGTATGTGAGTGGGAACATCCCATCTGCATATGCTCAAGAAAAGGTGATTGAAAACAATGTGTATGAATTGTGCCTTTGACCAAAAGAAATATAGAATGGTCCCTCGTAATGATAATGAGTGAAAAATGTGAGTTATATTATTTTAGAAAAATAAAATAGGAATCTTTTAGGTGTTGAATTGCAATTGGTTCTTGTCTATCTTTTTCGTCTTTTCCTTTTTTTAAAGAATATATTAAAAAAAATACTAAAAATAGAAAGTTAATTACCAAAAAGAGAAATACCAAAATAAACATACAAATTAATTCTAGATTAAGAAAATTAAAATATCATAATACTAAACTTATTTATTGAAACCTAATTTGAAAAGGATTTTCCTTTTTTGAAAATTTTTCTTGCTTTTGAAAATGAAATAAAATTGATATTCTAAAATATGATTCTATTTTTGTAATTTATCAATTTCAACAAATAAAACTTATCAAACTAAAACAAAAATTTTTTTTAAAAAAAAACATAGTAGTGAATTTCCAAAAGTGGGTATAAGAAGGGTAGGATATAAGAAGTGTACTGTAACCAACGTAGAATTGAAAGGAAAATAACGTCAAGAAATATCAAGATACATAAAGTAAATGAAACACCATGCAGTAGTGAAAAGTAAAGAATAAGATACTATGCGACTATGTCTACAAATCAATATTTACTAAATAAAGAGAAAACGAGAAGAGGAAGTTAATCCTCCGCTTCTCCCACAAAGAAATATGACAGCAATACTCAACTATTTACTATTCTTTTACTATAATTTTCGATCTTCATATCTTCTTATTTAGGTCATGTATTTCGAAGATGTGTCATGTCATATCTAAATCACCTCTTCTCAATTCCTCTTCGTCTTATTTGTACCTCTCATAAAATCTGTTACAAATCAATCTCTTCACACCTTCTTATTGGTACACTCATTCCTGCATCTCTCGATATATGTTCGAACTATTTCTATCTCGTTTTCCTTATCTTAATCCTTGATAAAAAAATGCTAATCAGATTCCAATGCGGATATCAAATATCGAACACACGAATAAAGATGAAAAACAAGAAAAAAATCCAAAGATGCTGTTTTTATTCCTGCCACATAGATTATTGGGTCAGCCATAAAAATATCTTCGTTAGCTGGCTGATGACGTGGACTTCCTCTGGTGGCAGGTTTAGGTCTCTAGATATTTTCACCTCAAAATATCCTTCAACCACGTGTCGACCAAACTTTCATTTTTGCCATCCAAACACCTATAAACTACCGAAATGCCATTGACTATCAATACTAGTTTGTATTTTTTATTTCTAAATTCTAATATATAATTAGTTCTTATATTTTCTATTTCTATAGATAATAATGAAAAGTTACACTTTTAAGATCTACATTTTTATATATATTGATAGTGTAATTAAATATTTATGAAATAAAAAAAAACTTATTACTCTTTTTTGAACTAATTAAAAGGAAAAAGGTATTGTATATATATTAAAATAGAGCGAATATTAATTAATCATGATTATTATTTACAAAATATAGTAAGTAATTGTTCGATTTTGGATTCATATACCTTCTTTTATTTCTTTAGTATGTTTTCCATTCATTATTACTTACTTAGTATAAGTCTCTAGAAGGTGACACGGCTTGGACAACATGTCAACTTCAGAAGCCAGGGATAGTTTTATCTTTCTTCGTGTAATTACATATGTCCTTGATTGATAAAAATATGAAAGACTAGATTTACCCTTACACCTCTATTAATTTTTTTGGCAATTAACGAATTTTATTAATTACCATAACCATGAGAAATTATTTTACATTTAACCCTTGTCAAAGACAAAATCCATCAAAACAATGTCACAACTATCAACTAAATGTGATATCTAATGTGAATTTGTAGAATTCTTGAACCATCAAGTCTTTAATGGTATATTACACTCGAAGCTATTAAGTTAATGACATATTTATCTGAACGTCACGCATTACATTGCATCGCATTAAAATGCTTAAACAAACTATCAACTAAATATAGACATAGCAACAACTATAGGCTTCAATATGCATTTTTGTGTACTCTTAATATTTTCATATCATTAAATACAAAATATATACCTAAAAATGAGGAATCAATTATACATAGTACTAGAACTAGAATACTTATTCTTAGGGCCACTTAAATATATTTTTAAGTAGCTAGAACAGCTAATTAACCACTAATATAATCCTATGTTCCTTAATCCTAGTATATAATTCAACTTTAAATATAATCAGTAGGTCAAGTGTGATAATGACATCCATAATTATCGTTTATCACACTCCAATTTAATAATAATGTACCCAAAATAATAAATTAGCATTGAAGCATAACTATGGCCTATGGGTTCAATACAAGAATATTCTCTCAAAAACGTTTATAGATTTTTATAATTAGATCTAGTTTAAAGTGTAGTTATAAAACATAAATATAATTAACGTATTTTCGAAACATAACTATAATTGTTGTATCGGGTAAAATAGTTGTATTATGCGGATATATCAATTATATGGACAACTGATTATATTCAAACAACAAGTATCATCTGTATCAAACGGATATCAACGCATACTATATCAATTGATAGGTTCAATCTTTATGTTTGTTTCTATCAACATAATTCATTATACTTTTAAAATTACTAATTCAAATATTTTAATATTAAAACACGCACATGTCTATGCACGATATCAGAAATACTAGGCTCATATTAACCCAATTCTTACATCCCCCACCCACCCACACACACTGAACTTTCAGTGTGAACTATGAATTAAATTTCAAAAAAATAACAATTCTAAAAAAGATTATTTAATTTTGTAAACAATAATAGTGCCATTACTAATTTTTCGAATACACAATATAAATATGTCTTTAAACTTGATATTTGCTAACTTTTTATGTATAAGTAAATGAAGACTTAAATTTATATAAAGTCAAACAAGTAGACATATACATTTTACGTGGTAATTCAGGTGAGATATACTTGAACTAATTCATGTGAGTGGCATTTGTGTAAATAAGTTGAACATCATGTCTATTTTCCCAACACAGCTCTACAAACATATCTAGAAAGATATCTTTAGCTACCAAGATATTTTTGTTTGGCATAAAAAAAAAAGAGAAAAAAAAAAGGTATGAAGAAAATGGAAGAAGAAGAAGAGAACATGAGAAGAGAAAAGAGATTGAAATGCATAAACATGGAGGAAGATGAAGATGAAGATGAAGAAGAAGGAGAAATTCTCGATGAC